GCTCTCAGTTTTTCCCCATTGAGGATGATATTAGCATTGGGTCATTCATATATGGCTTTTATTATCTTGAGGTATGCTCCTTCTATCCCTACTTTCTTGAAGGTTTTTATCAAGAAAGATGCTGTATTTTGTCAAATGCTTTCTCTGCATCTATTGAGAGGATCATATGGTTCTTGTCCTTTCTTTTATTGATGCGATGAATCAAGTTAATTGTTTTGCAGATACTGAACCAGCCCTGCATCCCAGGTATAAATAGCACTTGGTCATGGTGAATAATTTTTTTAATGTATTGTTGGATCTGGTTGGCTAATATCTTGTTGAGGAGTTCTGCATTCCATGTTCATCAGGGAAATTGGTCTAAAGTTCTCCTTTTTAGTGGGGTCTCTGTCTGGTTTTGGAATCAAGGTAATGCTGGCCTCATAGAAAGAGTTTGGAAGTTTTCCTTCCATTTCTATTTTTTGGAACAGCTTCAAGAAAATAGGTGTTAACTCTTCCATAAATGTCTGGTAGAATTCCCCTGGAAAGCCATCTGGCCCTGGAGTCTTGTTTTTTGGGAGATTTTTGATTACTAATTCAATTTCTTTACTGGTTATGGGTCTGTTCAAATTTTCTATTTCTTCCTGTTTCAGTTTCAGTAGTGTATATGCTTCTAGGAATTTGTCCATTTCTTCCAGATTGCCCATTTTATTGGCATATAATCGCTCATAATATTCTCTTATTATTGTTTTTTGCTGGAAGCCGAGCTATCCCAGCCTGATGGCAAGGCCCAGCCTGTGGACGGATTGGTGACTGCAAGGCAACCCACCGACAGTGAAGCTTCTTGGACTTCCGCTTGTAGGTAATTTGGCCTTAAGACTACCTGGGGTATTGTCTCAGTCGATTGGGGAATTGCCCTCGACAGGCCCCCTGGGAAAAGAACCATTAGGAAAGAAAATAAGGTTCCGCAAGAAACTGTGCGGCCTTACATCTAGCCCTTGCCATCCCCTATGGAGACTCCTCTATTTACAGGAAGGATAGCCTCATACACTTGCCAGCTAAGGAGGCCGACAAAGGAGAGACATATGGATTTGAGAGCCCCACTCCGGCAACTAAGGAGTGTATCTCTGAGCACAGGCGACTTCAACCCCTAGGCCTACCCGGCCCCCAGAAGGCATTCCAGATGATGACTGAACCTAGTCGGTTAAGGTACAGAATGGTTCATTAATTCCTAGGTGCATTGTCTTTCTGAGAATGTGTGAGGCATGGGTTTCTAAGGTCCTTTTGGCCCCTTCCTGGCACCTGGGACTTGAGGTGTTAAGAGATAAAGGGCCTTTCATGAGAACAGCAAAGCAAATGCTTTATAGATTACAGATAAACACAGATGCATAATGAAATAATGTAGGAAATTAATCAATAATCAAAGGGTATGAGGGAACATTACGAGAAAACCGCCATGTTATTTCTTAAAGGTTGATTACACATAGGAACATTTTCAAAATTTAGGTAATGTTAGAAAACCATAGATGACATATACTACAAAAAAATCGCTAACAAATATAATGCCACATTTGCTACAATAAATCGGCCAGTTCAACACACTGTTGTTGTCTGTGTCCATTTTTATTTTAGTTTTAGTTTTTTATTTTAGTTTGGTTTTATTTTCACCGATGCCGTCCATCCTTCGGGAACCCCTGGACCTGCTGGAGCTGGACTCTGGCAGTTTTTATTTCAGCTGTGTTGGTTGTGATCTCACCTCTTTCATTCTTGATTTTATTTACTTGGGTCCTTTCCTTTTTCTTTTTGATCAAACTGGCTAGTGGTTTATCAATTTTGTTAATTCTTTCAAGAACCAGCTTCTGGTTTCATTGATTTGTTCTACTGTTTTTTTGGTTTCGATAGCATTGATTTCTGCTCTAATCTTTATTATCTCCTGTCTCCCGCTGGTTTGGGGTTTTCTTTTCTGTTCTTTTTCCAGCTCTGTAAGGTGTGTGGTTAGCTTATGTATCTGAGACCTTTCTTCCTTCTTTA